TCCTATTTCACCTTTTAATTGACACATAAGGACAAGTTTGTATAGGTGTCACATAAAAATCCAGAGTCAGTTATTATTATACCTCAATTTATCTTCCCTTTTCCTTTACACTTAGTACTCCCCGTAAACACAACCTCCAACAACAGATACCAGAAATGGTGTGACATAACGCATTCTTATACACATAGAATCCCCAACAACATATACCAGGACAGAATGTGACAACACATTCTTACACACAGAGAACCTCCCGTAACACATACCAGGACAGAATATGAGACACAACACATTCTTACACAGAGAACCTCTAACAACATATACCAGGACAGATGTAACACAACACATTCTTACACACAAAGAACCTTCCACAACATATACCAGGACAGAATGTGACACAACACATCCTTACACACAGCCTCTAAGATTAGATACCAGGACAGAATGTGACACAACACATTCTTACACACAGCCTCCAAGATTAGATACCAGGACAGAATGTGACACAACACATTCTTACACACAGCCTCCAAGATTAGATACCAGGACAGAATGTGACACAACACATCCTTACACACAGCCTCTAAGATTAGATACCAGGACAGATGTAACACAACACATTCTTACACACAAAGAACCTTCCACAACATATACCAGGACAGAATGTGACACAACACATCCTTACACACAGCCTCTAAGATTAGATACCAGGACAGAATGTGACACAACACATTCTTACACACAGCCTCCAAGATTAGATACCAGGACAGAATGTGACACAACACATTCTGTCACATAGTCTCCAAGATTAGATACCAGGACAGAATGTGACACAACACATTCTTACACACAGCCTCCAAGATTAGATACCAGGACAGAATATGACACAACACATTCTTACACACAGCCTCCGAGATTAGATACCAGGACAGAATGTGACACAACACATTCTTACACAGATAACCTCCAACAACAGACACCAGGACAGAATGTTATACAACACATTCTTACACACAGAGAACCTCCCACAACATATACCAGTACAGAATGTGACACAACACATTCTGTCACATAGTCTCCAAGATTAGATACCAGGACAGAATGTGACACAACACATTCTTACACACAGCCTCCAAGATTAGATACCAGGACAGAATGTGACACAACACATTCTTACACACAGAGAACCTCCCACAACATATACCAGTACAGAATGTGACACAACACATTCTTACACACAGCCTCAAAGATTAGATACCAGGACAGAATGTGACACAACACATTCTTACACACAGCCTCCAAGATTAGATACCAGTACAGAATGTGACACAACACATTCTTACACACAGCCTCCAAGATTAGATACCAGGACAGAATGTGACACAACACATTCTTACACACAGCCTCCAAGATTAGATACCAGGACAGAATGTGACACAACACATTCTTACACACAGCCTCCAAGATTAGATACCAGGACAGAATGTGACACAACACATTCTTACACACAGCCTCCAAGATTAGATACCAGGACAGAATGTGACACAACACATTCTTACACACAGCCTCCAAGATTAGATACCAGGACAGAATGTGACACAACACATTCTTACACACAGCCTCCAAGATTAGATACCAGGACAGAATGTGACACAACACATTCTTACACAGATAACCTCCAACAACAGACACCAGGACAGAATGTTATACAACACATTCTTACACACAGAGAACCTCCCACAACATATACCAGTACAGAATGTGACACAACACATTCTTACACACAGCCTCCAAGATTAGATACCAGGACAGAATGTGACACAACACATTCTTACACAGATAACCTCCAACAACAGACACCAGGACAGAATGTTATACAACACATTCTTACACACAGCCTCCAAGATTAGATACCAGGACAGAATGTGACACAACACATTCTTACACACAGCCTCCAAGATTAGATACCAGGACAGAATATGACACAACACATTCTTACACACAGCCTCCAAGATTATATACCAGGACAGAATGTGACACAACACATTCTTACACAGATAACCTCCAACAACAGACACCAGGACAGAATGTTATACAACACATTCTTACACACAGCCTCCAAGATTAGATACCAGTACAGAATGTGACACAACACATTCTGTCACATACTCTCCAAGATTAGATACCAGGACAGAATGTGACACAACACATTCTTACACACAGCCTCCAAGATTAGATACCAGGACAGAATGTGACACAACACATTCTTACACAGATAACCTCCAACAACAGACACCAGGACAGAATGTTATACAACACATTCTTACAGACAGCCTCCAAGATTAGACACCTGGACAGTTGTAACATCAGACAGAATTAGAAAGACTACTATTCTTTGATATGCTTGACACTTTCACATACAAAATCCACAACATATTAGGACAGGAATGACACAGCAAACTTAACCCTCCAACAAGATAAGTCAGTGTCATTTTTCCTGATGAGAAACTTCAGTTTTAACTCCTGAAATTTATGATTTTAGGTTTGTAATGAAAAACTCAAAATTTGACAAGAACAATAACTGACGTTCCTTCATGCATACCTAAGTCTTCAACAATTTACCACTTATCTCATCCACAACTGTCATCAATTGGGGTCACCTGGTACAGATATGAAACTATAACTAGAAACAGAGAAAGATGGTCTGACTATGGTAACATCCATACATTATTCATCCTTACATTTATGAGTTTGATATCAAATTTCATCACATGGTATCATATTCTGCCGCATGACATCAGGAGAACCATCATCACACTGTCATCATTCTTAAATAATATTCATGTAATATTTTGCATTGTAAACATCAAATAGATGATGAAAGAAAGATAGGATGGAACACAAATAGGAAATGAATTTAGAATAACAAGAAGAAGTGGATTTAGGTACTGTGTTACACTCTGTATGGATGAGATGGAACGTACCTCGATTACAAGTTTTAAGTGAAACTGGATACAATCACATAACAACATCCAAATGTTTTATAAATAATTCATAATCTAATACTTCAGATCACCTGTTGAGATTTAATAGTGTGAAATATTTAACTAGAGTTATTTTGCACGATTGTATAACAAAGGAGTTCCGTTGTCAGTTCACTATGTACTTATGCCTGTGTTTTCTCAATCATAATATATTGTACAGGAGTGCACTAGTAACATAAAACATTTTCCTTGGCTGGAGATTTTATAACTGTAAATCGTCATCATTTCTGTAGACTTCCTGATTTTGACTCCTTACTGCTATACTGATACCGCTTTTCTAAAGAGTTTCCTAAACCTTCCATCCACAGTGAAGTTGATTTACCGAATTACAAATAACTCAAGTTACTAATATGTTGCACCACTATTTCATCACTTGGATATTATATATTGAGGATACTAGTAATTTGTGCCCCATATGCCCTGGCTTCAAAATCAGAAAGCTGACAGATATAAGAATTTGGAATTGACATTGTAACAGTTACATGTTTTAATTACAGATATACAGTCTATTAATAGAGCAACAGTTGACACCAGTCAAGGCTCTACACACATCTATGCATTTATTTGATAAACAAAATGTTACAAAATTTGTAACAGTTACATGTTTTAATTACAGATATACAGTCTATTAATAGAGCAACAGTTGACACCAGTCAAGGCTCTACACACATCTATACATTTATTTGATAAACAAAAGGTGAAAATTTTTTATAGATATCAACACTGATCATCTGATGTTATCGATGTTTATAAATATTTGTTTTAAATTTCAAGTTACATCATCATTGAACAGGTATAGTATTATTCCTCACACATCTATAAAGATAACTTATCTTACTACAAACAACAGCTTTTACATTGAGAATTTCAGTTATTTGTAGCATGTTTATCAACCTACACATAAATTTCACAGGGAATTTTAACTATTATTTGTCATACCATATAAAAATAGGATAAAAAATGTTCAACAGTTTGGAACTTCATGATTACCAGAAGAACCTGAAGTTTTCTGAGCAATAAAATGCAATTTTGTTGTTGCGTGGTGAATATATATGAGTAGAATTTGTCAACAGCTTCCAGAAGCATACAATCTCTCTTTCAGTCCATTTAACAAGGTACAAGCCCTGAATACAGAACAACCTGAAGCGTCACCATTTCAACAAGGTTCTTCCTTGTGAAAAGTGCATTCCTCACGGGTCTTTGAGGAAATCACACACATGAGGAACTCTTTTCATTAAGAGAATAGTAAAATCAGGATACAACATACAGCGACAACCAAAAGACAAGTTAAGTTCATATTCTCGTCATGATCGCTTCTGGAGGATGATTGTGCTGTGTGACTTTCTATGCTTGTCCAAGTGGAAGGACTGGGCATGCATATCCTTCTATTGTGGTACAATCACAGTATGGGAGTAGGGATGTCATAGACAATGTTGGTGAGCAGGAACATCCTTCTATTGTGGTACAATCACAGTATGGGAGTAGGGATGTCATAGACAATGTTGGTGAGCAGGAACATCCTTCTATTGTGGTACAATCACAGTACATCCTTTCTATTGTGGTACAATCACAGTATGGGAGTAGGGATGTCATAGACAATGTTGGTGAGCAGGAACATCCTTCTATTGTGGTACAATCACAGTATGGGAGTAGGGATGTCATAGACAATGTTGGTGAGCAGGAACATCCTTCTATTGTGGTACAATCACAGTATGGGAGTAGGGATGTCATAGACAATGTTGGTGAGCAGGAACATCCTTCTATTGTGGTACAATCACAGTATGGGAGTAGGGATGTCATAGACAATGTTGGTGAGCAGGTGGTAACATCCTTCTATTGTGGTACAATCACAGTATGGGAGTAGGGATGTCATAGACAATGTTGGTGAGCATGAACATCCTTCTATTGTGGTACAATCACAGTATGGGAGTAGGGATGTCATAGACAATGTTGGTGAGCATGGTGGTATCACAGTATGGGAGTAGGGATGTCATAGACAATGTTGGTGAGCATGAACATCCTTCTATTGTGGTACAATCACAGTATGGGAGTAGGGATGTCATAGACAATGTTGGTGAGCAGGAACATCCTTCTATTGTGGTACAATCACAGTATGGGAGTAGGGATGTCATAGACAATGTTGGTGAGCAGGAACATCCTTCTATTGTGGTACAATCACAGTATGGGAGTAGGGATGTCATAGACAATGTTGGTGAGCATGAACATCCTTCTATTGTGGTACAATCACAGTATGGGAGTAGGGATGTCATAGACAATGTTGGTGAGCAGGAACATCCTTCTATTGTGGTACAATCACAGTATGGGAGTAGGGATGTCATAGACAATGTTGGTGAGCAGGAACAAACTTCTATTGTGTTAATATCCCTGAATAAGTGTAGGGATGTCCCAGACAATGTAGGCAGGTATGATAAAGATGTGATCGACAAATGTTGGCAAGCACAAAACAAATTTCAGTGATCAGACAAAGAATACTGCAAGGAAATATTTCAAGTAATTGATAAGACAGCCATCATCCAGTTTGCAAAAATAAATCCAAAATTTTACTATGAAGAAGGTGTTAATGGGAGGTCTATATCATCTGCATCTGTTAGGTTATAACAGAGGTCAAAAACTGTGGTATGTAAAAAGTGTAAGATATGGTCTCTGCCATTCAGCTGACTGACGACCATGCCTCTATTGCCACTTTATAGTCGTGGATTATTTTGCCAGAGACCAAAATTTTATTCCTGTCAGGACACTAATGGCAGAAATGCATTTGTTCTATGTTTTTTACAACTGATTACAATATACTCATTATAGATTTTAAAGCTCTAGTTTATTTGTAATTTATTTTTGTGATTGAAACAATATATCTTCCCTTAATGTCTAATCATGAAAATGTCTGTAAGACCACAATTAAATAATTCCACTGCCATGCACATTAGTTAGAATTAGTATTCAACAGTATTAATGATGACTTTGACACACAAATTCTTTTGAGGTATTGTCATAATATTGTTCGACAAAAATCTGTTAAGATATTACATTGTAGGAGAGATGTTACTGAATGGCTTGTTGAATTTCTATATATAGTAACAATGACCTTGACCTTCGCACACTGAATTGCAAACTCCACTGAGGTATTGTTGTAGTTGACCTTTGTGTAAAGCCTGATTAAAATCCCTTACTAATTAAGACACTAGAGTGATGTAACTAATGAGTTAATATTTTCATAAATGTGTAAGTTGTGAAGAATTGGAATCAGAAATTTCTACATAGACTTACTCTAGGAAGACATCATTACATTTAATTTCTGTTGAACAATACTTCTTTGTAGTTGTTCAGAAACACCACATGTTCATCCATTGTTTTAAGTCGTCTCCATTTATCTACAAGTTTACATACTCCTCCCAGCCATTGGGAAGCGAAATCACGATTCAACTTGGATTGTTTATATTTCACATGAGAGGGTTCTTCACCTAAACAGTGTTGACCTCCTGCTCTTCTAGTCGATACAGGGATTTATCCTGAGGAGATTAATATGGTACATATTGAGGTAAACGAAAGGATAGAAAAAAAATCAGAAAAACAGCTCTTTTGTTCATATACTTCAACATCTCTTTTCTCATCTTTCCAATATGTTTCCTATCAGACACACATTTGTTGATTATAGAAAGTGTCTAAGTCGTTTATGTCTTCAGAGTATGTAACATGAATATAATTACCTTAATATCAACGCCATGTTTTTATTTACTTCCTTGTAATACTTAGCACATTTCAGCTAAACTTCAGCCCAGTTCTGGTGTTAATAGGAATTTAGGGGTTACTGCACTGAGCCAACAGCTTCATACCTTTTCATATTTATCTTCACACAAATATCAAAATGTTTTTCAAAATAATTATGAAGTAATTTCTTTTTGCCAATTAGCATACATCAGACACTCCATGCTAGCAAAAACAATTATTTTTGCTGTGTTTTACAAAATTTGAAGAAACATCAAAAATAATTTCAGCCCTCATTATTCCTCCCACACATTCTAATCAAGCTTAACTACCCAGGTAATATTTTCTGGTGTTGATGAGAGCATCCTTACCTAACATCCATTGTTCTTTCAAGCTGTGTCAGGAAATTCATTAAGCAGTTTACATATTTTGTAATTCACTATTCACTCAAGTATTTCTGCAATATATGTGAATTAATCTGCATGGAGAATAAGGTGTAAGCATGTATTCCTACACATTATTGGACAGCATGTCTCCTTATATCATTATATTAGACAGTAGTTTTCCTGATATTTTCATACAAGACAGCAATTTTCCTTATATCATTATATGAACAGCAGTGTTCCTGATATTATTGTATTGGACAGCAGTTTCCTGATATATTCGTATTGGACCTTAAGTTTTCCTGATAATATCATACTGGACAGCAGTTTCCTGATATATTCGTATTGGACCTTAAGTTTTCCTGATATATCATATTGGACAGCAGTGATATCCCCCTCTCTCTACCTTTTCCTGACCTATGACAGTGATATCCCCCTCTCTCTACCTTTTCCTGACCTATGACAGCAGTTTCCCCCCTATTCTACCTTTTTTCCTGACCTATGACAGCATTTCCTGATATATCTACCTATTCCCTGACCTATGACAGTGATATTGCCCTTTCTCTACCTTATCCTGACCTATGAAAGTGATATTCCCCCCTCTCTACCTTTTCCTGACCTATGACAGTGATATCCCCCTCTCTCTACGTTTTCCTGGCCTATGACAGCGATATCCCCCTCTCTCTACCTTTTCCTGACCTATGACAGTGATATCCCCCCTCTCTCTGCCTTTTCCTGACCTATGACAGTGATATCCCCCTCTCTCTACCTTTTCCTGGCCTATGACGGTGATATCCCCCTCTCTCTACCTTTTCCTGACCTATGACAGTGATATCCCCCTCTCTCTACCTTTTCCTGACCTATGACAGTGATATCCCCCTCTCTCTACCTTTTCCTGACCTATGACAGTGATATCCCCCTCTCTCTACCTTTCCTTGACCTATGACAGTGATATTGCCCTTTCTCTACCTTATCCTGACCTATGAAAGTGATATTCCCCCCTCTCTACCTTTTCCTGACCTATGACAGTGATATCCCCCTCTCTCTACCTTTTCCTGACCTATGACAGCGATATCCCCCTCTCTTTACCTTTTCCTGACCTATGACAGTGATATTCCTCTCTCTCTACCTTTTCCTGACCTATGACAGCGATATTCCTCTCTCTCTACCTTTTCCTGACCTATGACAGTGATATTTCCCTATCTCACTTAATCTCTGCCAGTGATATTTATGTTTTATCACCCTTTGCCTGACCTTCTCTCTTTAATCTCACCTCTGTACCTCACCTTCAACTCTTGTCAGCTCCACAAAAACTTTTTTCTCTCAGGTTTTTAAGGAAGAAAACAGAACAGAACTTTGTTGGAGTGTTCATAATTATTATACACCAAGAGATTTCAATACTGTGGAAATTGCAATATTCAAATTTAAGTAATAGCAATGATACCCACATTTGTCTGAACTATTTAACATCACTGGATAATGTGAGAATTTAAAATTTTAATTTATTATTTAAAAAACTAGACTCCATGCTCCAGATATACAAGCTTCAGAAACACAAATTAAAGAAAAACTGGCCATGATGAAATTGGTATAAGTCTTAATTAACAGAGAAATCTTGATAAACCCCAATGAGAGCCATATGGAAGATCTCACTGTAGGTGGCTCACCATTAGATCTAAATCATCTACATGTCAGTCTACATCTCATTTTAATATTCCACTCGAAAACATGTAAAAATTGCAACAGCGTTTAGATATCAAAGACTTTGAAGATTAAACATATACCACCATCGTAGATTTGGTTTCCATCATGTTCCTGGGATTTCTTCATTTACACTTCGGATTTACAATGTCCGATACGTAAAAACTTAGCTATTAGTGAGGGTCAACTAGCACCTTGTAAACCAATGAAACGCTGAAACGCTACAAAAAAAAGTTCTGTGTTAATAGCAAAATATAACTCACAACAGAAAATAGTAATATATATGTCAGATACATTCAACTCAAGTACCCATCAACACTTTTTTTTTATCATCTGGTTACAAAGTAGTGTAAAAAAAAATAGAAAGACGAAAGAAACGAAGTATTTTGTACATAATTTTCTTAATAGAGTTTCTGGTTGTTCCACATATTTAATGATATATAAATCCTTTAAAAAAACTACATCAAAACTAAGGCTGCCACAAAATATATTTGACTAGTCGAAGACCAAAAGAAGTCCTAATTTTTGTCAGTTGGTGATGATGTCTTGTGTACTTTTATCCATCTCAATCAATGTGTGTTCATTTAGATATCAACTCCACAAGAAGAACTTCATCATTCAACAATATCTAAGACAGTCTTACTATTTTTGCATTTTTGGTGTGCTTAATTATGGCATGGTGTGGAGTGTGTCATTCGACCGTCAACATTTTCTACATAGCACAACTGGTCATGAACAACTGAGTAGATTTTGTTCAAATTTAGTCTTAAGCATCACTAAGTGAAGTGAACTTAATTGTATTTAAACAATTGGTCTGAACTATGAAATCAAAGGTCTGCAAACAGACAGGACCAGAAATATCAAGGTAATATAGATTGTTTTATATTAAGCATTTACATGGAACAAAGTAGAATGCACTATTACTACATCATGTTGAACATGAAACAATTAGAGATTCAAACAGAATCAAACATCACCTTTTGTTTACCACAAAGATTGGTAATGTTTTCCTAGATATTGGTTAAACAATAACCTTAGAAACACCTGTGTAATCAAGTTTACATAACTATTAGTGTCATCACAATAGAGTGTGAATCCTCAATCTTGAAATTACAAGTTTGACTTCAAGGCAAAATATGTTACCTAAAATTCCTAACAATCATGTGACAAATGGTTTTGTGCAAAACTTCAAACATAATTTCTATTTTGGGATCTAAAGAGCTATAACCAACATTATTTTTATGAAAAAATCGACATTTATTGATGATAGGTATGTTATATACTTAGAAATTTTCTATGTAAAAACTCGGGCAGAGGAGGCTGAAAGGAGGAAAATGAAGGTGCAATGCTGCTGATGGAATTTCTGGCAGGATGACAACAGGACAGGTATATGTGTGGGTGTATCTTTATCAGATCATTAAAGATGTCATTTATACACATCTATGTCTCTCATCAATTGAGATGGTTCATGGTTTAGTGGGGCTAAACCACAGGTCGTTGTAATCATCACATTACAGTAAACAGCCTGACACATTGTGGTAAGGGGGTAACGAAACACCTGTAGAGTTTTATATATACATTAAATAAATTGTGTGTTAATTAGATAAT